GTGAGACATTCATAGCAAAAATGCTAACTGTGTTTACGAATAGGTCATGCAAGCTACTATGCCCAAGGGAGACGGAGATGATGATTACCTGATGAATGACAGTGATGTTGACGAAGATGACGATGCGGAGCTACTTGATTACAGTGATAACGAAGATGATCAGGGAGCAGAGGAGGATGGGGATGGGGATGAAGACATATCGCAAAATGAAGACAGTGATGAAGACGATGGTGGCGAAGATGACCTATCTTTGGCAGAGGCATCGGATAATGAGGACCTCATACCTCTAGACGACATGCCGGATGGGTTGATCGAATATGATGGATCAGATGCTTCCGACGACGACGATGGCCTGGGCAGACTGGTCGAAGAAGAGGTGTGGGGAGGGATCACTGCCAATGACTCTTCGGGTAATAAAGGGAGGGGCAAGAAAAGACAACGAGAGGAAGAAGAGAAGTCGAAGAAGAGGAAGAAGTTGAAATTGCCAACCTTTGCGAGCTACGAAGACTATGCTAAATTGATTGAGGAGGGGCCAGAGGATGATATTTAGGTAGAGAAAATCACTTCTGTTATTGCAGATAGTTCTGTAAATACATACCGCAGGGGGGTTGCCGGAGGGTACAAAGATAGCAAAAAGAAAATTCCATCTGAAACGATAGTTCTGGTAACACAAACATTTATTAGGCTTTACAATAATTTTTACACATGAGCAGAGGAGAGAGTATCGAGTGAAACATAACCCATCCATAGCCCATAAGTATCCGACAAACACCCTCAACCACCTCGATTTCAACTTCAACCCCCTAAAAATGATCTCCCTCACATATCAAACGCAGCACTCTGCCATCCATCTCTACCCATCTCCAAGCCCTTCTTACGCTCCACGCTACGACGGAACGTATCAATCTGCTTCTTCCCCTCCTTCGCCAAATCCTTCGCACCCTCCTCAAGCTCCGCCGCCAACTCCCTCCCAGTGGCCCGAACACCACCAGCGCTAGCAGCAACATCCACATCCATCTGAGCCTCAATATCCTCCGGGCTCACGCCCAACTCCTGAGCGACGATACGGTCCATCTTCTTCTTGAGAGATTCCGAGCCGGTGCCCAATGGACCGCGTTTCTCGCCGCTGAGGATCTGAGGCTCAGCGCCCATAGCCAGCGCCGCCTGCTGCTTCTTCTCGCCTTCGTCGCCTTCACGAAGGGTTTTTTCGATGACAACGCCCGTACCAGTGGCCTTGAACTCGACGCCTCCGCCTTCTCTCTCCAACCTTCCGATCTCACTCCAGAGCGCAGCCATGAGAGAACCTCCGCCGCCCAAGCCAGTGTCTTCAAACACCTGCCTGCGCTTCTTCACGTCCCAAGCAACACCATCAGCGTAGTCGACGAGATCTCTAATCTGTTCGCTCAGCACCTTCTCGAGAGCTTCCTTGAGGCGAGAGACCATGACAGGTTTAAAGACGGTGGCGAACACGGCATGGTTGCTCTCCCTGACCTCCAGGTCCAGCTCATCGGAGATGGTGACTTGAGCCCTCTCTATGACGTTGAAGTGATTCTTCATCTCCCGCGACTCGGGTCCTTTGGTGTGCTCTGGGATGAGACGAATCTTGATGTCGACGTCAACTCCTTTCTCGGGCAGCTTCAATGCCATGAGACCGGTGAACTCGCTTGGGCTGATAGCGGAGGCGTTCTTGTCCTTGTACCAGAACGATACATCCTTGAGCACAAGCTGGAGCGCCTGAATCTTAACGTGGGTGAGGGTGCCGACCGCAGTACGAGAGGGTGTGGAAGGAGAGGCGGAAGTTTGAATGTCGACATCTGTAATGTTGCGAATGTACACGTGAGAGGGAGATGTTGAAGGTCGAAATGTCGAGATTCTCGAGCACGAACTCGATATCCGCATCCTTGTATTCCGTCCTGGAAAAAAAAAGTCGCTTAGTACACGAAATCCGAACTTGGAAACAAAGGCGACTAACCTAGGAATGGGCACATCGCGCATCTTGGAAAGATATCGTGGAATGTAGACTTTGAAAGATCCTGCCAGAACCACGTAGCTTGCTCGACAGCAGCTTGCATGCCAGTTTGAGCCTCCTCGCTCGCCTCGACCAGACCACTTCGAGATCCTCACCCAGCTTGGCGTGAGCATTTCTAACGCCCTTCAAATCCCTGTCGTGTTCCAATCCATCCATGACTTTCTGGAATTCCATTTGAACCTTATCGACTCCGTCTTTCCAGTTGTCATCCTTCTCGAGCAAGGTGCGCCAGCGGATGCGCAGCTCCTTACGCTTATCCTTGGCCTCGTCAGATCGGGCAAAGCCAGGCTCGGTGAGTGTCTTCCTGGCCATAGCGAAGAAGTCGTCGAACCATTTCCTAAGATCTTCGTCTCTCAGGATCGAATTGGAACATACGCGGATCTGCTTGATGAGAGGCTCAAGGGATGTGTTGGCGAGACGCTCTAAAATGGTTCGGAAGAGCTTGAGCGCCTTGGGGATATGTTGTTCGGGAGTAGAGTCGTTTACAAGACTAGAGAGGGTCGCGTTGGAATCAACGGCAGCATCGAGAATGCTCTGGAACCGCGTCTGAAGAATCTCAAAGACTTTGTCGAGCGAATGACGGTACTCTGGATCGGATTGAGCACGGTCGCTGACCTGAAGAAAATAGAGAGAAATCAATATGACGTCATGTAAGCTGAAACCACGGCATACCTTGTAGACTGCCTCTTGCAGCCTCGAAGTCGTCTTCTCTGTCTTCTCCTGGACGGCAGAAGAAGTATCTTGAGCAGTACCGATGACACTCGTGCCCGCGTCCTTGATGGTGTCCATGCCGTGCTGCCAAGCGACCTTGGGGTCTTGTTCCTCCTCCAAACGCTTTTTATCGCGGCCCAGAGAATCACGCTTCCCCTCTTGGACTTCCTCCTCCATGTGACGAAGACTCTTCTTAGTACTGCCAGCTTGGGTTTCGATCACCTCTGCGGCGTCAGCAATGGAGAGGCGGAGGACGGAGAGGAATTCCTGGCCGAGGGAGGTGCCTTCAGAAGTAAGGGAATGCCAGAAGATGGAAAGTACGTTCCGCAGCGCAGTACGGATGGCTTTCAGGTCGGAGAGAGCTTGCTCCTTGTCGGCCTCTGCCTCGGACGTGACGGTCAGGTCGCCCTCTGATAAATGCCATATTGCTTCCTGTAGAGCGTTATCGGCTGGGTGCGTACCAAGTACGAATTAGCTGACGAACTAAGATTACAAAAAACAAGAAATACATACCGTCCTTGTTTGCAGCCATATACTTGTATGCATCGAGAACCTTTCTCAGGTCGTTCGCCAGAACACGACCCTGGGAGCTAAGTTCTGTCTGCGAGCTTGGTTCGACCTTTGTGATAGCGACATCATTGAGATAGTCGATGAAATGGTCGAATTGTTGTGTCGATGGAAGCTTGCCAGCTTCGAACGCAGCGATTATTGATGAAGATTTGTCCATGTCGTGAAAAGATGAGTAGGTTGAATATTGTCTTGAAGCGCCAAAGACATTTCAAGCGTGCTTTTATAGCTTGGGGCTTTGGAAGGACCCACTGCGGGCTGGGAGTCTGAAACGAGTCACCGATGACGCGATGACGTCGATCTCCCCTTTGGTGCGCCAAAAAGCTGTCCATAGTCAAAGACAATTTCAAGGTGTACTGAAGTAAAGCAGAGATCGATGGGCAACAAGTTCTCTCCGAGGACGATGATGACAAGTTGATGTGCTGGCAGCCAATGAGGGGCGCTAAATATACCCAAAAGGCAACGTCTGTGGAATCTAACAAACGAAAATACTTGGCATGACATCAACGATCATCGATCGGTCACCAGCGAGCGAGGCAACTCGTGAAAGGCACTAGTGACTAGAAGGCACTCCGTCTACGTCAGAGCATGGAATTTCAATCAACAAGGGTGTTGAATCGATTCATTTCTTGGTCTTGTTGCGCTTCCTTCATCATCAGACTCATCACAGTAAGTAACAAGCACCGTGCACGTTCCGAACTCTACTACTTAGTATGGGGTGCTCATTTTTTCTGTGATGGCATATCTTCTATACTGGCGGAAATTCGTCGCCTTCCGGGGTCCTCCTTCAGTCCATCTTGATCAGCACATACTATTTAGACCGAGATGGGTGTCTGTCAATATCGACACGGCAGGTGACCGGACGCATTTTCGCGACGAGCCGGGTGATTTTTGGACATTTGTTGCTTCCCTTCCCTACAAAGCACCCAATCAAGTTTCTTCCCTCAAATTGGAGTATCCTATATCTGCAGGATGCTTAAAATCAGTTGCGAAAATTGCTCGACTGAAAGAATTACATCTTCACGGCACGGCACAGATGATTTGACCTCATTGGGCTCCATTGCGAAGATGTACCCCCTCTTCAAAAGATCCCTATCCTTACCAACCCTTTGTCGAGTTTAATTTTCTCCACTGTCGACGAAACGATATCCTTTCGCGGCCGGCGTAGACAGGCTCTTCCCAAAACTTGACAACGGATTGTTTCCAAGTCCGCCGGACGTATCGGCTTCATATAGGGCCCAGTGGGATCAAGTGAAAGAACTCCTTTCAATGCAATGTCGTGCTAGACAGGACCAGCACTTGCGCGAGTTAAGAGGTTCGGTTTCGGAGTCTGTGTAGATTTGAAGTCTGTAACTAGAAGTACTGTGAATTCAGTTAAAATTGCACGCGAACAAGATCTGAATAGGTTTGACTGCTAACCTCCCCGCCCATGGCATATTTCGCCTGAAAGTTTGCGAAGAAGTACCAGTTCTACGTTCCTCGAACCAGGCATGAGAATTCAAGCAGCGCGTGGCCTCCATTTTCGCTCCTCTTGAATTGAAATCCATCAAACACGAAACTATACCTCGACTATGGCTTGGGACATCAATCATAAAGACATTTTCATGAAGACCAAGGTCAATCACCCCTTTCAGGCGGCAGACAAGATCAGATGCCTAACATTCCGCGTTCGCAAATAAAATAAAAGAATATATGATGAGAATGGGATTTGAACCCATGCCCTTTCGGACCAGAGAGGAATATTCAGAAGCCAAAGCCTGCTCCTAAATCTGGCGCCTTAGACCACTCGGCCATCTCACCACAGAGTGGGATCCGCCGTGGCCATCACTGAGGTGGGCAAAGGAGGAGGCGGCCAGCGGTTTTGCCAGGCTTGAAGTCGATAGGAACATGCAAGTACGGCCTGGACACTGTCGATCATCGGCCATATCGTGCAAGAACGCAACGTACATCAGAATGAGGGTATCATTACCAATGGCAACAAGGAGAACGCTCAAGACCCGGCAATGAGACGAACCAAACTTGGTGGTGTATAGGTGCAACAGGGCGATAAAAGCCTTATGGCCGTCGATGATGCAGAAGCCTCGCAAGGCAAATGGGCACTATTGGATAGACGGTGAAGAAAGTAGCTGCATATCGAGAACCATCAGCGCCGCAGAGTGTCAAGGAATATATCTTACCAAAACGTTCTTGCATGGGGTCCAGGTCCATAATAGTAAAGTAAATTTGATGAGCAGACAAAGCATCCAAAAGAGTCAGAAAGGTCACCCAGAGATTCCACTTCAACTTCCATTCAGGCCGCGTCAGGAGCGAAAAACAAATGACCATCTGCAGGGTAGTTTACAAAGCTCGTATATGGATTACTGGATCTGCGCTCCGTAGCCTCTGATGCCTTCAGCGAACGACCACGACGACTTGAGGTGCTTCGACTCTGAGATAATAACGCCAGCCTCAGTGACCTTAGCAATTTGGTACTAGAAAGGCAGCCATGTCAGAACAGTGGAGGCAATAGTGAAGGAGTAAACTTGATACCTTGTCCAAACTTCTGGCATCACGATAGTACAGGACCCTCATACAGTTCTCAAGGATATCGGCGGCTTGCTCCTCGGTCAGGGTATCTTCTCGTCCCTCAACTGCGTCGCGAAGGAGAGGTTGCGCGATGTAGGCACCATAGCCAGTGGCAATAGTCGAAGCGGAGTAGGTGGTGCCCAAAAGATCTACATAGGCGAGGAAACTATCGAAGACAAGATAAACGTCAACGAAGTAGCAGAAGAGAGGGAAGAAAGTGACATACCTCTTTCCATCTCTGACACCACCCACGAGAAGGGAATTCCACAAAGGATTCATATTCGACCTTCTAGCGTACAACACTTGCGAAAGATATTCATGGATTTCGGCAGGGCCCAGGCTGTGGCCATCCTGGGAAGTGAACTCGTCGATGATAATCTCGTTGAGGAGGGTTTGGATGTACTGGAAATCAGACATATCGCCTGATGCGCCGATCACCGTGTTGTTTCCGACAGGGTGAAGGCGTTGTATGTCCTTGAAGCGGGCGAGAGACCCATACGATGCTGGGGACGAATGATAAGTTGAATGTAGTTACTGGACTTTCAACTCGACGCACCAAGGTTGTCTGCTGACATCATAATCCCGTCCTTGTACTTGATGGCCAAAACGCTTGTTCCAGTTACAATGGGTTGTCTGATTGTGATCAAAGGAGCCAGTTATAGCATGAAATCATCTCAGAGAGAATAGACACACTGGGTCCGTTGTACGCCATCTGAAAACTTGTCTTTCGGTGTGTTCTGCGGTCGTTGGTGAATTGGGTAGGTACCGTACGCGTCAAAGGCATCATTGCGCTTAAAAGACTTAAATCAGGTATATTTGGTCCATACAATTCATATGTACTCACAGGGCGACCCCAGTTCGTTGGAAAATGGTCCATTGTAGAAGATAAAGTCAAGTGTAGTCGAAGAGAACGCGCAAGCCAGGACGCGTATTCACAACAGCTGACGTAATGCAGTCACGCAGAGAGATTCGGGCCGGGTATGGATTTTTTAGCCTGAACCCAGAACTGGAACTCTATCTGTCTTTGTAAACTCACGAATCGATTGAAAAAATATCTCAGAGGTGTTTTACATGATGTGTGGCCGGACTATACTAAATTACTCTAACTCTAACTCAGGTGGGCGTGCATGTCTGCTGGCATATTTCTGAATGAGTCCTGCATTCCTCTGCTCGTAGTCGACGCATGTTTCTATTAGCTCCTCCGCATGGCATTCAGTTGCTTTAGTTCGAACTAGGGGAAAACATAGGCAATGGTCAGCTACAGATTAAACGGAAGGAAAATAAATAAGGATCTGACTTTGATTCAATGTCCGAGGTGTAACCAAGTTGTCTGCTATTTCTTTTTGAAGCAGTTTGAATAAATCTTTGATATCCCAGAATCCCGACAACTTCAGTGCTTCAAGAAGTAGATCAAGCGTTAAAGTTTGTGCCTCCGGCTCCGCGCCAGTGTAAATATGGTCTGATTATTGTGGATCCAGTCAGACGATTGACAGCAACAAGAAAGACAAACATACCTAGTACTAGGCGAGCGCATGCCGTTGAGTGATGAGGCAGTGCGATTGAAATTGGGCTTGCAGCAGAGGCTGGCTCGCCTTCCTTAAAATCTCCACAAAACAGGTCTGAGAAGTATTCGCTAGAAACAGCCAAGAAACTGCGATGGGCAACCAGAGGTTCCGAATCTTCGGTATGGTCACTTGGTTTGAAAATAACGTCCGCGAGTAACTTTTTCTTTCGGAGGTCCTCAAATCCAAGACGGATGGAGGCCAGCTTGTTTTCTGGGGCAGCAATAGAATTCCATGAATTCGACCGAAAATGTGCATGAGAAACTTGCTCGACGCCTGTGGCTCGAAGCAATCTCCCGAAAGGCATCAAGAAATCGCGCACATGACGCATGCTTTCATCGATATCTTGAGAATCAAATACGAGTTCATCTGCTTTATCCCAACGCCATTCATCCATCTCTGGGTCGTCAACGTTGAGAAAAATCTCCATAGCTCCGAGCTGTGACAAAATAAGTTCAGCAGATGGTGCGTTATCATTCAAGAAGCTATATGTTGCCTCCAAGTCATGAAGGACAGTGCAACGCTGGGGTGCAGACAGATTGGTAAGGGACGACAGATATCTAAGATGAGTAGCCTAAACCACAAGTTAATATCCGATACATGCAAATTAAAAATGGACTGACGACTTCAGAAATGGTGGGCCGGCCCAAGTCAGGATATGCAACAACGACTCGTTGGTGAGGCTGGTTAGCAAATGCTGCGCGCTGAGTCCACGCAATGGCTTCAAATTCTTCCCTAACAAGATCGGATGGTGCGACGACCGCGTCAAGAGCAACAACATTCTGCGGAATGTCCAAACCAGGTAAAGTGATATCTTGATCTTCAAGGTGGCGATGTGTGGCCATGCTGCGCGGTATGAAAGAACAATCATCAAGGTCTTTCCAACGATGTTGTTCTTGAGCCGTAATCTGCATAGGAAGCCAATATCCATAGGATTCAAAGAGGACGTTCGCCCTGATCACCAAGTCATCTTGCTCCCTCTCCGATTCATTTAGCGCCCCCACACAATCCAAGAACATTTGTACATTCAGTTCATTTTCGGTCCTGAGTCCATGCTTATACAACCTGTTTCAAGTGTCTGAAAATCTGGGTGGATGAAGAATGGTGAGTCTTCGCCAAACGCTGCAACGAAGAGTCGATCTCTGGCGTAAAGCTCATTGGATGGCTTGACCAGAGAAGAGCAATCAGGAATGGGGACTGGGTCGACATATATAGAGGGAAGGAGCGGAATCAAAGTTCCCAGTAACTCCTTGTATGCGATGAGATCAGGGACAAGCAGAGACGGTGGGAAGGCAAGCCTCTCCATCAGTTGTACAAGGGTAAGAGATGGCCCACGGAGGAAGCGAAGACTTCCGTAATCGGCAACGCAAACATTCATGAAGCGAGAGACGATTCCAACAGAAATGTCCTGTGGGAGCATACGCACCGCCGAGCCAGGTCTAATATCCAAAGGCAAGCTATTGGAAGCTGACGGCCATAATGGAAGCTCTTGAGCGACGGGTCGGAGTTCATCAGGAATGACGTCGTGTATGCTATCTCTAGCCCACTCTGCGAAACCGGACTTCAAGTTAATGTCCATGAAGCCAATCCCCTCTGCAATGAGGCTTGATGTGGTTCCAAAGCCTTCAAAGCTGTCAGAATGTTGAACCGAGGATATTCCGATTCAGTGCGAAGGATATGAATCAAGGCAGCTGGGAGATGTATCTCGTGAAGGCGCACAACTTGAACATCCAAATCGTCCAAAAATGCAGTGATAAACTCAGCTTGCTGAGACGCGCCGTCGATGACTACCGATAATGAATCTTTACAGCTCGCCAAAGATACGAAAGTACCTGAACGGACAGTCGGTACCATAGGAAATTGCAAAATATCTTTCGTCGTCAAGCCAAGATGAGAATATTCATCCCATGATAGCCAGAAGTCGCGTATCCAATCTGTAATGTCACTAGACGCTTCAAAAGAAGACGCAGAGGGCAACTTTTCTTCAATGAATTGTTTGATTGGAACTCTCTTGATCCGCTACCACCACCACCGCCGCTCTTCCCACGGGTCAAACAGTGGAGAACAGAGGTCGGACGGTACAGTACGGTATTGAAGTAGAGTAGAAAGGCAAACCCTCGACTAGTCCTCCGCTTCTCTTCTAAGTAACTACTTGCGCACTGCAACTTACACACCCCGCGAAAGAAATGAGCCAAAGGCAGAACTCCCGAGTCACGAGGGGAAGTGCTGGACCTAGCACCACCGTCTCCGAATCGACGAAAAACGACATCCTAAAGGACTCGCGATCGAGGATCAAGGACAAAGAGGCAGCTAAGAGGTTTTTAGTTGTGAAAGAGCTAGTGCCAGAAGGTGAACGAATCACTACTGCTTCACTGTCAACTGCTCTACTCTGGGCCACCATAGATAAAAGACTACTGACGCACAACGATTGGATCGATACGATGAGGGCTGTTGCGATCAGCCTCGACAACCTACCGGCGGAAGAAGCGATGGAAGTGGTGACCACACACACGCAGAACCTCTTCGACGACCTGGCAGACAACCTGAAGAGGGACATCGGTAAAACTTTGGAGGACGGCAAACAGGCAGTGGCCGACGAGTTGACAGCACACAAATCTCAATACTACACACCGGCAACGGAAGAACTAGAGGAGACGGTACGGCAGGAGGCCA